TTCTTTTTCTTGTGCTGTTTGAGTTCCTGGAAACATCCATCTCACGCCTCACTGAGCTTATACAACCTGATAAATGGGCCTGTGCAGCAAAAAAAACAACCTATGAGAATTTACATCATCCCGTAAATGACAATATATAAATAGAAAGCACTGACAGACATCTGGCAACGTTGCAATAGCATGTCATACGGCTGCTCCAAGTGTTGCACCATAACTGATTCGGTTCTCCAATCTGACAAGCAGCCATGATGCTCGGCAGCACCCAGAACGACTGCAGCCCCCCCGAGACAAATGGTTTCAAGTTTAATGTCAGAGTATAAGTAGGTGATGTCGTCCTGTTTTGGCCAGATAACAAGGACCGTGGCTGTGTGCGCCGGAGCTCATTGTTATTCAGAATTTATAGACAGGACAGATTTACCACAAGTATTCAAAGCAGGTCCTCGAGATGAAAAACAAGTGGTGATGTCATGACAGCTATATTTTACCCAGGAAAAGATTATGGTAAAAGATGGTGGGGATACGTTTCACACCCTAACTCATCTCTCACAGCTAATGAATGGGACTGGTCTCTGATGTCAGCCTATCAGTTAGCTTATTAGCTACCACATCCACCCACTTTCGCCTGTTTCTTGTTTCTTATTAGAAACACTCATCTGATGGAGGACCGAGAAATTAGTGGGAAAGCCTAACCCTACAATCGCTCAACTACATGTTAATGTGGACAAAAATTAAGTCAATTTTCTGGAACGATGTAATTTAGTAGCAAATACAGATAGTATGAATTGCTAGTGTAACCTAAAATTCTACGTTTTCATTAAGAAAATGAATAATGCCAGAGTTTTTCCTGGCTCAGACTGCTAGGTGACTACACAATAACAAGAGGGATCAGTTTGTGTAAAGGCCAAGAGACTGTGTTACCTTATTTGACATAAATCTATGCATTTTTCTGTTATTTCTGACTATTTAATAAACACAATTGTCAAATAAATGTATCCCCAATTAACAAAACTGTTATTTTTTTTTAAAAATCTTATCATTTTGATGCTGTTGATTTTCCTTTTGAGCCTAAAAATTATCTTTTTAATAAAAACCCTGAATGAATAAATAATCATTTAGGTCCGAATTCAGTATTAATAATTCTATTTTCCTCTTTAATTAATGCTGAATTTAGCAATACAAATGGCGACGTGCAAAAAATTGGCGAAGTGAATCTAATTAGTGCCAATTTACTGTTACCAAACCATTTCTACGGGTCCTGAACCCTCAAAAACATCCAAACCGTGACAACAAACCCTTCAGTATAAGTTGGCAATTACCAACAGTCATGGTCACATCTCATGTTAGTCCTGTACACATCAGACAGAAATCTAATTAATTAGGCACCGATGATGCATAGTACGGCTCTATCATGACAGCTATAAGACATAACTCTGAGCTGAGCGCTGGATTCCAGCAGTAGAAGTTAACCTAAAGTCAACGGCTGGATGTGATGACAGGGAGGCATAAGGAACATAAATCAGCTGCATTGCCTCGGTAGATGTGAACACCTCATGTCATCGTGTGCTGGAGACCAGACTGACCTCCAGTCTGTGTGTAAATGAGTGAAGTGATGTCAGTTTACAGTCTATATATAAATATATATATATGTGGAACATGAGCTACACCTGTTGTGTCTAATTTTAAGTGGGAAGTTATGTATTCTGCTACCATTTAAATGTCATCACCAGAGCAGTGAGAATGCAGCAGGAATAGAAAGGCTTAGAAATTAAGACTATTTGCATTATATACACTTTATAAATACTGAACAGGGTTAATTATTCATAACAACAATGCTTAAAATATGCATATTGGAATTTTTTCCACACATCGATGCCCACATGACTATGAACTAAAACATCTAGAGCATTTGTAAGGGCTTTGTGTCATAACAGCAAGAAGAAGGAAATGTTTAAATCATAGAGCAATGCACGCTATTCAAAAATAATATTAAAATCCCAATATGGACAAATACAAAACCTACAAAGGAGCTGCTCTTTTTTTGGGGCATAAAGGTACGATTTTTTTTGGTGGAAAAAAAATACAAAAAATGACCATTTCTGCTAAAATATGAGTATTTTTGTGTCTCTACAGCAATATATATGTATATATATATATATATATATATATAGTGAAACGTCTGCTTGCATAAATAACAACAATAATATGTAAAGAACAAACACACATGCTTCATATCTTCTGTGTCCATCACTCAGACAAGAAGACAAAGCTGCCACTGACACAAAATAAAGAAAAACAAAAATTTTGTGAACCAACAAGCAGCAAACATTTAAGTTATAGCATCAACGAAAGTCATGCAGCGTGCCAACAAACACCACACTTATCAGATCTGATGAATGGTGCCAGACAGGGCACATCTGGAGATATTAAAAGTCCAGACTGTATGAATGTCTGGAAACATCATCTGGTTGAAAACTAAACAACATGCACAAGCTGTCCAACTTTCGTCTGTCAATAGGTCAGACTCAGTCGGTGTGCAACTGCATCTGACACCGTAAATTTGATGTTTCAGATGTGTTCCTGTCTTTGTGCTTTTCAGGAATATCTTATAATTACACTGGATAATGATTTTAAGAAGTGTTGTCAGTGCTGGACTGGATGCAAAACTGGATGCTGTAACTTTGGACATAAGCCTGGACAGGTTCCAGTTATAAAGAATCTTTAGCCTTTTAGGAACAATCTCGTCCATAATTTCTGTTTCAGACATCACTGAAGGTGATAAGAATGGCTCAGCACTATAAGTTGAATTTCCCTTCATTTTTCCTTTGACTGCGTGCACATCCAAGTCACACCAACATCTGAACACTTGACTAACCACTTAAACCAGCAATAAACATTTGGTATCACAGCAAGTTGTCTTACGTTGAACCAGGTGTGTGTTCTTGGCTTCTGGCTGTGTAGAACCGTCCAACAGTAACTCCAGGGCACTGACAGGCCTGAACATGTTTACCTTGCGTCCCCTTGCTGTCAGCTCATCCTTGAGGCCACGATTTTATTTCAAAACAGGAGCCAAAATGGCGCTCACAGGTGTGGGCAGGTTAGCTGATTGTAGGTTAGCTTAGCTAGCATTAACATTAGTTTAAAGCTGCATGCGCTGCGCTGCTTTCTCCGAGTTGTCCTCTAAATCAGTATGTACTCCTTCTTTCACAATATTACTCTTCCAGTTGTCTGTTTTCTTTATTTGGCTCCTAAATTTTGCCAAATAACGTAACAAATCCTCAGCTGTTTCCATCTGTTTAGGGTTCAGGTAGCACACAATGGAACTAATGGCTGTTTGGCTCTGTGCTAATTACCTCAGTGGTGTTCATCAGCGTTACCATGTTCTGAATTTACAACATAATTATACTTAACATTATTATAACGAGTAGTAGTAGAAGTAGCAGTAGTATTAATAGTAGATGTAGCTGAACAGCTCCTTAGTGCTTAGACTTAATTACTGACATAAATTGACGTACAAGCTAACTCAGCATTTATACTAAAAGGGTTTCCAGTAGCATCACTTGTTGATTATGTGTTTCAGTTTTCTTAATTAATGTTACTGTGAAAAAAACCCAAAAAACCAAACATTTCCAGTGTAAGATATAATAATTAATACAATAATATTGTAGAATGATGACCACAGGAAATATATTTCATTTAATATCAAGTCCTTTTGCAATATTACTTTTCCCAATGGTTTGAGAATATCAGCTTCAATATGATGTGCGATATTTGACTTTGTCTTTTTCTTTAATATTACAGGACTTTATTATGTGTAATATTATTTCACTACCTCATCATCGTTGGTATTACATTTTAAAAATTTTTTTGTAATCTCATTTTAGCTTACTTTCTTCAGTAATGTATTGTACTTATGTGTATCTACATTTATGCTCATGTTGTATAATTTTGTTTTCTGAACAATATCTGGCACAAGAATTTCCTTCAGGATTAATAACCTTCTGTCTTATCTTATTTTGAAGGCTATTAAGTTTTATTTTATTTTTCTAGAAGCTTTTTAACAAATTTAATTTAGTAAATTCTGCACAGCCATTCCACTAAACTTAGCCTCATAGCTTTCACTCTGTATTGAATGCTACTTTTATTAATATTGTAGTCGTCCACACCAGATCTGAATAATTAACTGACAGCCTTATTAACCACCTTTACAATCAATCAAAGCAAAGTGAACTCATGAGGGGAAACATTAAAGAAAAACATTTATTAGCTAGATTGCTTCAATAAATGCAAACACCTCTTGGTATCATGAATTGCAATTCACTCTCTGTGCACATTGATATTATTCCAGCAGCTCCATATTACACGCACTGTAATACAAATCCATGTTGTATTATTAAACCGTGCACTGCAGCAGGATGGCAGGCAGCTGTCAGTAAAGATTTACTGATCCAGATTTTTTGATAATGGTGACAACGTTGGCCCGAAGAAAGTCAGTTTAGACAACAAAACAACACAAAGCAGAGAAATGTGTTTATTCTCTGGCCAAAGGAAGCAGGTATTTTTGTCACCTGCTGTAAATAGCTCAACAAACACTTGAACACATGATGAGGATAAAAAAAGAGCATTTTACCTTGTAAACATCTGATAGTGATTTAGCACTTTCTGCACTGCTGCCGCGCGTATAAAACTCTCACAACTGTCACATTTTTTTTGCCTAAAGTGCAAACAGATGAAGGAACTTGTTTTTCAAATCCTATTTAAAGGAGTTGTTAAACCGTACTCTCATGCAAATAATTAGTCCTGACAACATGTATGATTTTTCACTCATCATTCTGGGTGTGAAAATCTATTTTGAGGATGAGTGACACATCGACCGAGTGAGTCTGGAGGAGGAGGGAGGACGTCTGACTGACAGATATAGAAAGAGACAGCAGCAGCATCTTCAAAAAAAAAAAGGGAATTATCACGTGAAATCAAAATTTTAAAGAAGACACACAGCAACGTCACAGCGTATGAAGTTTAATCCATAAATTAGACTCACATATCACCACACCATACAACAGTATTAATACAACCTGAGCAGATATCAATTTATCAGCAAAAAAGTTTTCCAGAGACGTCCTCACAGGGAAGAAGTCTGTTGATTGAATTTAACTTTAAAGCACCAATCAGGAAGAGCACAATGTGAAAATGACACCATTGGTATTGTTTAGAAATGATGAAATCCATCCTTATTTATTTTTTATTTTTTTGTGCTTCTATTTCCTCCCGGATCTGGCGTTAAGGATAAGAACGAAAGGGCGACCTGGTTGTGGAGTGGTTCGGGCGTGTACCATATGGACACAAGCGCCACAAGCAGCAGATCCCTGGTTTGATTCCCAGTTGACAGAACCATGTGCTGCATGTCATTCCACCACTCTCTCTCTCTCTCCAAGTTTCCTTTCTCTCTTCCCTGTCACATCAAATAAAAAGCCCAAAAATGAATCTTAAAAAGAAGTAGAAGCACTTAAAAGGAGGATCTGCGTCTGAACATCAACAAAAGCTTCCTGAATGATTGTAACTCCTGCTTCAAAGTGCTCAGAACAGGAAAAGGCTCAGTAGTAAGACAACTTGCTGGTAAAAGTGTTCCGAAAAATGGTATGTAGAGTTAAAAGGATACCGTAATAAGGGACTGGTACAAAATTTTAAAAAGCACTTTTTAACATTAGCAAGTGGAAATTGATTAGAAGTTATAAATCACATGCTGTCATTTTCTGTCTTTTTGTAGAAAATATTTACCTTTTATCTAAGAACAGCTGACGCACACATTCTCACAGGCTTTTGTTACATCATTAAAACTTCACCATGCTGTACTTATACTCATCAAAGTGCACCAAAAGTTGTCTATTTGCTGGTGGATTGAGAAAGCATTCACGCAAAACTAGTACCCACAGAATTCCCATTCACGCTAAGGCTGCAGTGTAAAAAAAAAAGTGCAAAACTGTTTTTGTTTTTACTGAAGAAGAAGTTCAGACCCCAAAAAAACTGCCCACAAATGCAAATATGAAGAGAAAACAGTTCAACAACATCACATGAACAGACGAATCTAATGCACTTCATGACATCAAACAGACCAGCAGACGTGCATGATAGCTTGTATCGCTCACATGCAGCGTCTCTCACATCACATGCAGTAATGCTGATTATTCACATTTTAATTGATGCAACAATCACATCTTCTTAGTCTTTTGATGCTCATCTACTAATTAGCGATGACTGAAAAGATGTGCTTGATCCTGATCAGCAGGATCGTTGGCTTTTTTTTTTTTCTTTTTAGTGAATGTGTTGCTTTTTAATGCACCTCTCGTTGTTTTTATAACATATTTGACTCTATTTTATGTACAACCTTAGTATTTGCATTTACTGTCTTCATGTGTAAAACACACAGATGGAAGCAGAAGCTTTATGTTGCATCTGCACTTTCATATAACGTGAGACATTTGTCCCCACAGAACTTAAAATGTATGTGTATGTTTAACATTGTTGACTCTGGAAGGCAGCAGCTCTCAGTTTAACCTTCTGCAGGTGTCCTTAATGCAACCAAACACGCCCACTTCTGCATATATTTCCTAACACTGACGTTTATTGCAAGGAACTGTAGGATTTGGCTGGATAGCGGTGTTTTTTTCGAGCTGCTTTGGCAGCGTCGTCATCACGCCACCCTCTGGAGGATGTACAGGATGCCGATGTTGTCGATGGTAACAAAGGTGGAGAAGTCTGATGACACGTGGATCTTCTTCAAAGCGCTTCCCGTCGGATAGAAGGTCTGCAGGGCTTCTCCTTTCTCCACGTTCCACCACTAGATAAAACATAAAGAAAGACAAACCGTTGGAATGCTATATCTTAACTGTTGTAGTAGGGGAGCAGGGGAAGAGTGAAAAGGAAACTGTGTATAAACTAAATGTGCGTCTCGATAAGAAACGACAGACACTGGCAAACACTTGAGTCACAGAAGCAGCGAGCCCGCCAAGCTGCACGCATTTTGCATAGCAGGTGCACACTTTGACATCAAAGTAGGCTGGGAGGATTTGATGCAGTATGCAAAAAGGTGGTGAAACTTCTGAGCATGGCCAAATGTGCAGAACTACAGTCTACGCCAGCGAGCATTTAAATTGCAGAAAAGCAAAAGAGAATGAAGAGTTCAATCAGAGCTGGATTGCCGTCACCGTCTTACAACGACAAATCGCAAGCGGAGACAATCGACAAGGGCATCATACCATTCGAAAAACGGATTTTAAAAAGTGATAGGAGCTGGGGGAAGGTGGAAAGCTGAGCTTGTGAGCTGAGTTAGCATTAGCTTAGCATTACTTGCTGTTAAGATGTGAAGACTTCTGCACTATTTTAGTTTGCATAGTCTACGATACCACTGTCGGCATCAATCTAGGAACAATGGTTAGTAATTGAACATAGAATGAAATGCATTTTCAGAACATTGTTTTGGCAAATGTGATTAATAAAAAGGGATAAAATTACAGTTGAACTAGCTATAGGTTTGGTTATATTCACATTGCTCATGCTTGTGTAAGATGCTACGAGGGAGAGATGTGTTCAGGAGAAATTCTTGATGTAGGATTATGACACACATACACACATTTTGGTATACGGTGGTTCTCCAAGACTTTCTTCAAGGTTGGCATGTCTTAAACGGAGGATTTCCTTTTGAAATGTGACACATCAAACTCCTGGTTTTTGTTACAAGAACATGGATAATGTTTATCTCCGGTGCTTAGACTAAAATCACAGCATACTTATTTTTTTTTGTTGGTGACGATAAAATCAAACATGTTTGAAGCTGTTGCTGCATCTGGACCATCTCACACTGAGTGGTAGACATGACCCGCTATACATTTCTCAGAAAGGAACGAGTAAATCATGAGCTTCATCTGAATCTGACCCTGAGAGGACGACAGAAAAAGTCAGACAGACAGAGAGATTCATGGCGGCTGCCCAGAAGACCGGGGTGAATTTAGTAATACTATATTACCAGGCTCAAACGCACACAGTCTCACTGAAACAAACCTCCAACAGCTTTCCTGAGTGATTCTGTTTAATCTCGGTTTAAAGTTGACATTTTCCATTGAAGCTCCATCGCACTGGGATGACTCATCAAAGGCACATTGAGTCAATCATTTATCGCTTGGCGTTAATGCGTGCGCACATTTAACTTTGACAAAATTTAGCATGGCAACAAGACATCAAAACAAGAAAACGCAGCCCCTTTCAGCTAAATAAAAGACGACGTGAGTCAAATCGATAGGTTGACGCTTGAGTGGTGCACCGAGTTTTTGTTATGAAGCTTTAGCGGCTCTGAGTGTGTGTGTGTGTGTATGAAGCAGAGAAAAGAGGCCAGTTCCTCAGTCTCTCGACAGACAGGCGGACAGACAGACTGCCACAGAAGAGGTGGCGACAACAGATGTCTGGCTTATAGGACACACACACACACACACACACACACACACACGCACAAACACACAAACAGTCCATTAATCACACAAAGCCTTCAGCAACTTTAAGGGGAGCTCATTTGCATATTTCTCAATATGGCATCAAATCACAATGAATGTCTTTAGGTTTTCCTCGGGGGTTTCTTTCTACTGATTGCACCATAGATATACTGCAGTGTGTGTGTGGGTATGTGTGTACACTCACACACACACAAAAAAAAATCTGACTATATTTCTGGTGCTGCAGGGGGTTGGCCAAACTTCTGCTGATTGGACGTCCTCCACTGCAACCATTATACACACAAACACACGCACGCATTTGCTTGCTTTCTTTAAATTCTGTGAAAGGCTTCACTGTGGCTTTGTCATCCTCGTCACAACACATAATCCCCCCTGAGAACGTGGTGAAAAGACAGTAGACAGAACCGCATTAAAGAGTATTAAAGGCTACTAGAATAGTCATCTCGAAAACGTACAACAGTTGTTTGAATTCAGAAGTTTTATGTGGAATTTCACTGATATGCTATGTGGTGTCAGTATACGAAATTCACTAATTTAAGTATTCGGATCCTTTATTTAAGTAAAAGTATCGATGTAGTAATGTAATATTCCCTCAATATTAGGAAAAGTTCTGCATTAAAAAGCCTACTGAAGTGTAAGTGCAAGAGTATTAGAGGCAAAATGTCGGTACAGTATTAAAGAGAATTACTGGTTTGGTCCCTCTGACTGATATATTATTATTATAATTTACGACATCATTACATTAATAACAGTGAAACATCAGTGTGTCAGCAGCGTGTTACTGTTGTAGCTGCTGCAGGTGGAGCTACAATAAACTGCTTTATATGCAATTTTATATGCAGGGACATAAATTTCATCTTGCCAGACGCTTAATGGGAGAAGGAAAAAAAAATGCCCTGACACACAAATCTGTTCTCAGTTTTTGGAATTCTTCTCTAATCGGAGAAAAGGTCTCACATTTTTATCAACTTGATTCTTGGCGAGATATTGACTCATTTGAACATTTAATTCGAATGAAACTGTGTGAAAAGTTTTGAGGGCAAAGTCACTGTTTGGTAGAGATGTTAACAAGTTGGAGATCAGAAATGTGACCTTGACTACACACTGACTTTTTTTGTAAGACCACTGATTTATTCGTTTGCTATGTGTTGTAATTTAAAAAGTTTGTTATACTATTTTCTTAAAAGTAACTAAAGCTGTTAAGTTGAATGTAGGGGAGTAAAAGTACACTATTTCCACCTGAAATGTAGTTGAATGAAGGTATACAATAGCATAAAATGGAAATATTTAAGGAAAGTACAATTTAAATTGTCCTAATGTTCATTAATTGAGTAACTGTACTTTCCACCACTGTCACCTGGTGTCTAGGTTTTGGTGCTTAAAAGGAAAAAACAGACTGTAATTTGGCAAAAGGAGCAACACAAACAGAGATTTCTGAAAAACTATTTTTATCTTATGGTTTGCTGGGTGATATAATTTTAAAACTGGGTTCAGTGTGCACAAGAAGATTAAAGATGGTTCCCAAAATACAGCACAAATAGCTTCTACAGCTAACCTGGGGTTGAGTAGTTCTGTGGTGTTAACTGTACAAGGCCATTAACTTCTTGCTTTTCCTTTCTAAAAATAGCTGATTATTGTCATTCCATTTGCTTCTCTCACTCCAGCTAATCGACTTTAAGCTCACATTGATTTCTCTCCCTCAATTCAGGTAATTGGTAACCGACTGTTCTCTCCCGGCAGCACAACGCCTAAGTACACAAGTATAAACTGTATCTGTGGTGATGGAAACAGGTTTGTATCTAACAAAAAGCAGGTCATTCAGAATGGAGTTATTTAAGGTTTTCTTTTCCCTGTCTGACATCATTACAAGGGTCAGATCTGCCAATAAAACCATTCAAATGTTCCCTTAAAAAAACTGTACGAGTCGGAGGCCTGTGGACCCACAGCTATTAATAATTCACTGTGCAAAGCGAAATTAGGGTTTTTCTCCTCATACATATGTCCTTTTCCAGCCCTTCACCCCGAATCATCTAGAATTCATGAAGGATATTATTTTACATCACACATAGTAAAAATTAGAGCAAGAAAACATATGCATAGAGTACAAAGACTCCTTTACATAACAGCTGTTAGTGCAGACCCACTTTTTATGTTTAAATGTTTATGTATGTGGTGCCATGGTGAATCTGTGTAATGTTTACTTGAACATCAAAGCTATACGGTGTAATTTGCTGCCTTCGAGACTAAATGTGACCGCAGAGTGAACCTGACATTTAGCCAAACTAATTTATTTCATATTTCCACATGGATCCTACTGAGTCATACAGCTAAATATGGTAAGTCATTGTTTTATATGATATTTGACATAATCCTCTTGGATACACGCATGATTTAAAACAGCAAAGTTCATGAGAAGTTCACATCCATATGACACACAACAACAGTTTTGCTTCTTAAATGTTGTTTCTATAAACTAAGGCGGTACTTAGCATAAAAAATAATACAAATGCATTTACTATGTCAGGGTCCACAGGTATGATCAGACTCCTGTCTGGCTTGATAGCAGCTATTAATGATATAAGGCCAGTTGTAGCTTAAACCTGACTTAAACTTAACTGGATAAAATGTGGTTCCAGCTGGTGAATATCAAACTAACTGAACTTATCCCTCACACATAATCACATGATGTAACTTTTTGAGCTTCTTGTCTCAATCTTTCCCAACTTATAAAAAGTCCGGCATTGCTTCAGAATAAACATTTAGGAAATTAATCACCGACAGAGCTGAAACATGTCAATTTAAAAATCAATCAAAACATAGTTTAAGCAGTAATCAGGAGGTATAAAACGAGCCGTAGTACCACTAGTCGTAGCCACAGTGCTCATCCTCCTAAAATGGCAGCATGGACAGAATCCTATTTTTACAAACCAACTTGTTTTTATCTCTGGTTTATCAACAGGTTTGTGTGATAGCTCAGGCCATGTGATGGGTCACTACATGTTAATCCCTATGGGCAACATTCAAGAAAAAAAACCCTTGCTTGCTCTTCGGCACTAAACTACGAGATGAAACTTTGCTAACATACACAGAAAATCCTGATGAGTATTGGAAGCACATCCTTTGGTGAGATGAGTCTAAGATAATTTGATCAGCTTAGATGGTACCACCAGAATGAATCCATGGTCCTGACAGTGAAGCCCAGAGGTGGTGACGATATGGGGCTGCATATGGGCCTCCTTGCCGAGGACACTTCTGTTGTATACTGCATTATTAATTTTTTCAGGCAAGATGTAGCATTTCCACTATGAAACACTGCAGGAAACCACGAATAGAC